CCCCCCCCCCCCCCCCCCCCCTTCCCGCAAACTCGGCCGGAATGCTCTAAACATATTGTTTTCGGGGGAACGGCAGATTTTTCCTCTAGTGCCCGAAATAACTTTCGCTAGAGCCGGAAATATTCCCTGACACTACTTTACGTTGTGGTGTGGCGAAGTCTTGACTTTCGCATCCTTTCAATATTTCCACAATATAGAGCAGTAGACTCGGTTCTCGTGTAATTTACCGTTGTTTTTGTTGTTGTAACATTTTATTTTTATTTTTTTTCTGGTGCGTGGAAAACTTGTGGACTGCCAACAGTCTCAACTGGACGATCTGAGGGACGCCCACGAAAGGCTGAGGCTGGAATCTGCGTCGGAGATCCGTAAACTAAGGAGAGAGGCGAGGGAAGGGGCGAAGACGGTGGAGATGGCTGCGAGGACCGCCAGCCAGGCCGAGGAGCAGGTATTGTGCTCTAGCTCTGAGTGTTGTTGTTGTTGTTGTTGTTGTTGTTGTTGTTGTTGTTGTTGTTGTTGTTGTTGTTGTTGTTGTTGTTGTTGTTGTTGTTGTCATTGTTGTTGTCGTTGTTGTCATTCTTGTCCCTTTGCCGTTGGCCTGTTGTCGTTTGTTTTATTCTTCTATTCTCCTTTGCCGTCGTCATCGTCGTCGTCGTCGTCGTCGTCATTTCGCCAGATTCCAACTTGCCGTTCGTTCCATAAACCTCCCGGCACACTTGAATTTCCGTCTTCACATCCTTCTCCCCTTCCCGGGCCCTCTCCTTCCCTCCCCATCGCATCACATCCCATCCCATCGCTTGACATTCCTCAGGTGGCTTCCTTGCAAGACGAGCTTGAAGCGTGCGAGCGGGCGCTTGCCCAGGCCCGGGACAAGCACCGCCGAGAGGTGGAGAGACTGGAAAAAGAGCTTGAGGAGGTATATCGGCGTGTCGGGCAGGCAGGAGAAATTGCCTTACCACCTCTTGTTGGCTGTCAAGAAGTGCCTTCGAAATGGTGTGTGTGCCAAGAGGCCGGCTTGAATTTGCTGTGTGATTTGTGTCGAGCGGTTGTTTGAAACATGCGTTTCGGGGACATCGACGTAGAGTCACGGGAAGCGTTTTTTTCATGTGTGTGTGTGTGTTTTTTTAGGTGTGGTATGCATACGTTGTTGTTCTTTTCTTTTTCTTGGACAAACAAGAAATCTCGCCGAGGAGATTTGATAACTTCTTTTTTTTTTGGTCGAAATCAGTCCTTCATGTTTTTTCATCGTTTTTCTTTCTTTTTTTAAGCAACACCAAACCCATCTTTTTGACCTCTTCCCTCCCCCAAACTCCACAACAATCCAACCATCCATGCACAGGGGAGAGTAAGAGGCAGGGCCATGCGCGCCAAGATCCAAGAACTCTCCGCTCTTCGCGGTGGTGGCGCTACGACTGGCCCTAGGCCTTACAGCCAGCAGCAGCAACAGCAGCAGGCGAGGAGGCTATCCTCCCCATTCGGAGGAGGGAGGGGCACAACGGCTGGGACCAGACGCGGCGGCGGAACCACCCGTGGCGGTTACGCTTCGTCGTCGGCCAATCGGTCGCGGAGTGCCGGTTCGAACCGCCGCCGCCGTCCGGCGGAAAGCTCCAGCACCACCAGGAGGTACGCTGCTGCCACTGCTGCCGCTGTTTTTTGCTTGTTTGTTTGTTTGTGATCCTGGGGTGGTCCCGCCCCAATCTTGGTCTTGCTGCCGTCGTTGTGCTGTTAAAATGTAATAAATTACATAAAAAGTACAAAAATAAAATTATAGTAATAGTATATTAGTATTATTTACTCCTGCAAGAATAGTGAACGTTCGACCGTAGCCCACGGGCCTCGACCTAGATGAAACTCCCGCCCCAATAATATTTTTGTGAAAATCGTTACAGTTGTGTCCTGTTGTGGTCGTTGTAGGTTTCATGTCTGCGCGTGGTTTGCCTGATTCCGTTCCCAGACACTTGGGGGTTCCTACTGCTGCGGCTGCTCACGCGCCTTAATTTAGCACACAAGACACACGCACGCGCACGCCAGTAGCACGGGCGGAGCCGAGGGCGGTCGCGTGAGACTGACGAAAAGGGGGGCAAGAAGGCTGAAGGCATGTTGCTGCGTTCCTAGAGCCGACCTGTGGTTGCATGTGAGCTGTCGCGCTGCCGCTGTCCCCGATGCATGTAGAAGCACGGAGAGGACATCTGCCACAGCGGGAGTGATAGTTTACATAGTCGGCCAGTTCTCCCTACGTTTTTTTTTCGGTTGGTGTTTTTTGGAAATTACAGAAAGACTACCCGTTCGAGACATAACCTCTGTCTTTGCTTGTTTTATTCGTGTGCAGCAGAAGAAAGACTGGTGGATATACATATGCATGTCTGGCTTGTTGCTCCACCTAGTTGAACGACCGCGAGTCTCTACTTATGTTGTACTCGAAAGGGGCCAGCACGACGGCCTGACGTACATAGCTCTTGCTGCCCTAAAACAAGCCTTCCAAGGACGGGTGAACCACACGAACCTCCTTCTACGACGAATTCCCCGCCCAAAAAATCCTCGAGGCCAATGCTCTAACGACTACGGCATGCACGGCTATGAACCGCCGCGCCCCCCTCGGTGTTTGCCATCGGGGTTGGGTTTTCGTCGCTTGGCAACGACGTTGTAAAACAAGCCGCCGCGCCCCCCTCGGTGTTTGCCATCGGGGTTGGGTTTTCGTCGCTTGGCAACGACGTTGTAAAACAAGCCGCCGCGCCCCCCTCGGTGTTTGCCATCGGGGTTGGGTTTTCGTCGCTTGGCAACGACGTTGTAAAACAAGCCGCCGCGCCCCCCTCGGTGTTTGCCATCGGGGTTGGGTTTTCGTCGCTTGGCAACGACGTTGTAAAACAAGCCGCCGCGCCCCCCTCGGTGTTTGCCATCGGGGTTGGGTTTTCGTCGCTTGGCAACGACGTTGTAAAACAAGCCGCCGCGCCCCCCTCGGTGTTTGCCATCGGGGTTGGGTTTTCGTCGCTTGGCAACGACGTTGTAAAACAAGCCGCCGCGCCCCCCTCGGTGTTTGCCATCGGGGTTGGGTTTTCGTCGCTTGGCAACGACGTTGTAAAACAAGCCGCCGCGCCCCCCTCGGTGTTTGCCATCGGGGTTGGGTTTTCGTCGCTTGGCAACGACGTTGTAAAACAAGCCGCCGCGCCCCCCTCGGTGTTTGCCATCGGGGTTGGGTTTTCGTCGCTTGGCAACGACGTTGTAAAACAAGCCGCCGCGCCCCCCTCGGTGTTTGCCATCGGGGTTGGGTTTTCGTCGCTTGGCAACGACGTTGTAAAACAAGCCGCCGCGCCCCCCTCGGTGTTTGCCATCGGGGTTGGGTTTTCGTCGCTTGGCAACGACGTTGTAAAACAAGCCGCCGCGCCCCCCTCGGTGTTTGCCATCGGGGTTGGGTTTTCGTCGCTTGGCAACGACGTTGTAAAACAAGCCGCCGCGCCCCCCTCGGTGTTTGCCATCGGGGTTGGGTTTTCGTCGCTTGGCAACGACGTTGTAAAACAAGCCGCCGCGCCCCCCTCGGTGTTTGCCATCGGGGTTGGGTTTTCGTCGCTTGGCAACGACGTTGTAAAACAAGCCGCCGCGCCCCCCTCGGTGTTTGCCATCGGGGTTGGGTTTTCGTCGCTTGGCAACGACGTTGTAAAACAAGCCGCCGCGCCCCCCTCGGTGTTTGCCATCGGGGTTGGGTTTTCGTCGCTTGGCAACGACGTTGTAAAACAAGCCGCCGCGCCCCCCTCGGTGTTTGCCATCGGGGTTGGGTTTTCGTCGCTTGGCAACGACGTTGTAAAACAAGCCGCCGCGCCCCCCTCGGTGTTTGCCATCGGGGTTGGGTTTTCGTCGCTTGGCAACGACGTTGTAAAACAAGCCGCCGCGCCCCCCTCGGTGTTTGCCATCGGGGTTGGGTTTTCGTCGCTTGGCAACGACGTTGTAAAACAAGCCGCCGCGCCCCCCTCGGTGTTTGCCATCGGGGTTGGGTTTTCGTCGCTTGGCAACGACGTTGTAAAACAAGCCGCCGCGCCCCCCTCGGTGTTTGCCATCGGGGTTGGGTTTTCGTCGCTTGGCAACGACGTTGTAAAACAAGCCGCCGCGCCCCCCTCGGTGTTTGCCATCGGGGTTGGGTTTTCGTCGCTTGGCAACGACGTTGTAAAACAAGCCGCCGCGCCCCCCTCGGTGTTTGCCATCGGGGTTGGGTTTTCGTCGCTTGGCAACGACGTTGTAAAACAAGCCGCCGCGCCCCCCTCGGTGTTTGCCATCGGGGTTGGGTTTTCGTCGCTTGGCAACGACGTTGTAAAACAAGCCGCCGCGCCCCCCTCGGTGTTTGCCATCGGGGTTGGGTTTTCGTCGCTTGGCAACGACGTTGTAAAACAAGCCGCCGCGCCCCCCTCGGTGTTTGCCATCGGGGTTGGGTTTTCGTCGCTTGGCAACGACGTTGTAAAACAAGCCGCCGCGCCCCCCTCGGTGTTTGCCATCGGGGTTGGGTTTTCGTCGCTTGGCAACGACGTTGTAAAACAAGCCGCCGCGCCCCCCTCGGTGTTTGCCATCGGGGTTGGGTTTTCGTCGCTTGGCAACGACGTTGTAAAACAAGCCGCCGCGCCCCCCTCGGTGTTTGCCATCGGGGTTGGGTTTTCGTCGCTTGGCAACGACGTTGTAAAACAAGCCAATTCACTTCGTGAACTCGGCAACCAGGTTACCGTTTTTTTTTTACCTCCGGTTTTTTTTTTGGCGGTAACCATAATGGTGGTCGAGTAGATCATGTTGTGCTGGGTGGAGAACCCTCGTCCCGCGCAAGGGGGATGATCGCACCACGTTGTGTTAAAATGGTCAAGCACCCTCGAGGTAGTTACACAGCTAGTGCTTACAACTGTCTATGGACGTGAAGGCACCAGAAAATAAATCAAGTCATACGCAGCTGTCATCCGTACGCAAGGAAGT